TTCAGACCACAATTTCTATTACGTACTTACTCAGAACCAAAACTGCTTTATTCTGTTCGAAGAACATCTGGGTTGAGCATCAAATAATAATTACTTGTTACAATTTTGCACTAATGTATTGAATTATGGAATCTACAGATAATTCCTGGAATCAGAATTACACTCGTTCAATTGTAATCTGCAGACGTCAAAGTTCCACTTTACTTCAGAGTGGTTTATTATTATCGATTACAATTAAAGGATAAATAATCAATAACAAGAAAAAACATTGAAGATAAAAGCGAACTAGGTCTGACTGTCATAAACCAGAATCTGCAGATAAATGTTGTGAAAGTAATCCTCACGGTTCTTCCTGGAAAAGTCTGCTCTATTGGATCACAGTCTTGACAAAGAGGACCTGTACTCTGAAATGTGTCTCACTCTTTTATGCATTTCGTCGAGACAGGGCGTGAAATGAATTAACTCATAATGCTTACGTCCTGACTGTTCGTCCGTCCGCAAATTTTATACACGTACTTGAAGCAACTGATAGAATTATAATAAAACTTTGTAATCTGGATCTCCACTTATATTCGTCGAGCGAGTTTGGTTTTGTTTCGTGCTGGTCAAATATACAGGAAGCTCAAATTGAACTTTACCCACTGGTCCCTCTTCACATCAGTTCTATATGTGCGTACATATTATCACGTGTTAGTGACTAGAGTGGGGTTTGAATTGGCAATAGGATTTATTGAAAATTTATATCTCGTAACTACAGGTAAGTATAACAGTTTCACAATTCTACACACTCTACAAATCACTGTACTGCAGGATGCAAACAGTCTTCTATATCTTCATCAGTCGTTGCTCGGTAAGGTACACCAACAATGGAGATTTCTTTGCTTCCGTTCTCGCGTAGTCTCATAACTAACTGATGGAGGCAACTTAATCCAATGTCCTCAGCTCCCGACCGTCCACTACTCAGGGTTAGAATCAGAATTACTTTACGACTGGAGGTTTACCGTCAAATATGCCTTTTCTTTCCGGGAAGCGGTAAAATTTTGAATAAATAACCTCTCATGGGGTTTAAAATGCGGCTGTGACAGCAGAGCTACACCTAGATGTAAGTCTTGCAGCTGTTTACAGAGTTCACAGCGCCGCCTCCAAATATCATTTGCATTAAATGCTATGATTTTGAGCAGCCATTTAATTTTATCAAGTTTAAGTGCCATTTTTGTAATGACCTTTATTTTGTTTTATCCTCACACAGTTTCACAGAGTTCTGCCATTATCTGTTGCACTATAGTAGCTGTTTTTAAAGTGTTTATTAGTCGAACTAGGAGCCTGTACTGTCAGACCTGTACTCTGAATTTCCTGTTGTGGCAGATGCTGCTGCACTGGTGGCCGCAAACCTTCTCTCTCTCTGCGGTGCCTGTGGTTGTTAGTTTTGCGTGTCTTGACTCAGTGCAACTGCGTAGGACTGCTCTGGTGAGGTCAACTTAGAGAAGAACGTCTTCCCAGAGGATCTATTGGAAACTCCTTGTGCTCTTCTGCTTTGCAGTTCTCCTTTCGCATGGCTGCAGCCTTGATATGACGCTAGATGAGGCTTCTCTATTTCTACTAGGGTGTAACTGCAGCAGCTTGGCGTAGATTCTATATGTGTTTTTCAGGGCATTCTCTATGTATGTGGCCACCACGGCACCACAAACATCGAGGGGGTTGCTTGCAGTTGGCCCATATATGACCAAAGTTTTGGCAGTTGTAGCATTGCATCAGGCCAGTCTCAGCTCTGTATAATTTTGTTTTAATTCGCATAGTGGGGGGGGGTGGAGTACAGCTGGGTCCACTCGGCACGGCGGCCACTGATTGGCCTATTGTACCTATCCTGGGTGATTATGATGATGGAGAATTTTTGGTGGAATGAAGATTGGCAGGGGAAACCGAATTACGCGGAGAAAACCCGTCCCAGCGCCACTTTGTCCACCACAAATCCCACTTGAGCAGACCTGGGCTCGAAACAGGGCCGCCGCGGTGGGAAGCCAGCGACTAACCGCTTGAGCTATGGCACGGCCCCAGCTCTGTATAACTCTACCCTGACAATAAAGTGATGAAGGCTATTCAGCTTGAATATCTCGAGATTTTATGTTTTTCTTAAGGTTCCAAGTGGGTTCTTCCTTTGGGTGCTCTTCGAGGGGTCGTAATTTGCTTCACGTTAATGACGTTGAAGCCTAAGTCCCCAAGGCTGTTGGAAATATCATCTCCCGTCTGGGTGAAAGTGACGGATTATTGCCTTTATAGGTTCTTCATAATTTGGGGAGAAGGTAAAATAGTGGGGATTATTTTTCTCCAAGTATGATTTCATGGCTGAATAATCCGCCATTTATTTCGTTATGTTACATGTTCCATCTTGTGTATTTTGGAACTCGTACTTTCCTTTGACCTGGTCTTTTAAGTCACTTTGGTAGAAGCCATCATTATTGATGGCGGCCTACCTGACTTTCTGGGAACCTCCCGCCCCGGTAGATGGTTCTCTGATCCAGTAGTCTCTGTGTCCATGCCAGTAGTTCTGAGAGGTGGGAGGAAGTTGCAAATTAGCACCGATTTTAGTGGCATCTTGACATCTGCGGATATTGGAACTTTAGTCTATTCTTGGCTCTCTGCGCGGTATTATTTGAGATATGTACCTTGCGTCTCCTTTCTTCCTGGAAGTCGTCGTTCTAGGGCGTTGATTGCACTGAGGTTTTGTTCACTGAGTGATTTTGTCCTGCTTGTGCATTCACCTTCAGGACAGCCTTCGGTTCATCCAGTATTACCATGTACATGCCGTACAGAGCGTTACAAAGCAGCTTCCCATATAGACCTTTAAGAAAGTTTACTCTGTTCTTCTCCGCGCTTTCACAAAGAGGTCCACTCAGAGCTTCCTCCCCTTTTGATTGGTGTGATTCCGGCAAAGTTCTCAATACCACTGACTAATTTATATACTTGTTGCACTACAGAAGCTGCTTCTGGGCATTTGTTCGTGATGGCATCATATTCGGATTTCTGTGTTAAATATTTTTAGAATTTCGGCATCTTGGTGTGTACTCTAGTTCACCGCAATATATACCTCTTGCTGAAATCGTACCTCTCCGAAAGGTCTTTCCAAGTTAGAATAAACACTGAAGTTTCAAGCATCCGCAACATAAAATCGGGAGTACCGCAAGGAAGTGTTCTGGGCCCATTCCTATACTTAATATATTCGGCTGACCTACCAACTACTGACAACACAGTATTGACCACATTTGCTGATGATACGGCGATACAGCGAACCATAACCCGATAACTGCCTCCGCAAACCTACAAAACCACATAAATCTCCTACAACAGTGGTTCCACAAATGGCGCATGAGCATAAAAAACGAGAAATCAGTCCAAATCACCTTCACCAATCGCCGAACCACTTGTCCGCAAATAACAATCAACAACAGGAACATACCACGCAACGCCGAAGCCAAATACTTAGGTCTTTACCTAGATCAAAAATTCACGTGGAGGACTCACATCAAAAAGAAACGCCAACAGTTAACGCTGAAAGAGAGACAGCTGCACTGGCTGCTAGGAAAACGCTCGCAATTGTCCCTGGAGAACAAAACCCTGTTATACAAGGCACTCTTAAAACCTATATGGACCTATGGCATCGAGCT